AAGCTTTTTCTTCCTAGGCCCCCTCTATTTTTCTGCCTTCTCTCTTTCTTTATATTTTCCCGGTGAATTGATGGCATAGGGCCCTCTTATTTTTTTTCCTTATTTTCTTTCCATTTGTTTTTCATCATGTTTTATATATATAGAGAGATATTTTTATCTTATTTATAAGCACTAAATTATGTATATATTTTCTTTTCTTTCTTTCTTTCTTCCCTTCCCTTCCCTTCATTTTGTTTTGTTATTTGTATTTATTTTATTATTTTATTATTTTTTTTGTTTTTTATTTTTATTTATTTTACCTTGTTTTCTTTTATTATTTTATTTTATTTCTTAGTCATTTTCTGAGTTTTATTTGTTTCATTATTTGTGTTCCTTTTATTGTTTAATCTTGTATTTAGCATGGTTATTTTTTTATTTTCGTTAATAAACTTGTTTTCTTTGCATTATTTAATTTTTATTTCTCTTTAATATTATTTTTTATGATTTTTAATATGCGCACTTTATCTTTACTTCAATTAATTCCTCATCATATACATTCTTTAAAACATTATAATTTAACCCTTTTTTGTTTTCTGGTTCAATCTTTTTATCTAATATTTTATCATTTAAGGGTATTTTCGTAAATTCGTTAAAGGTAAGTAATTTGGATCTTTATTTTACCTTTTAATTTAAACTTTCAATTTTCTTAATTAAAAACAACTGGAAACTACGTAGTACCGAAAGGGCAGTTCAAGGATGCTAACCATTCATTGACTGTAACCGACTCTTGAACTCGACACATCTTTGGTAAGACACAGATCAGGTAAGAAATAAGGTATCCGATCAACCAGTTTTATTCTTAAAATAAATGATCGGTGGCGACTCCTAATCATTTTCCTAAGTCGAAGCCCAATTTCGGACCCAACCGAAAGACGGGTTCCGACACCAACTTTTGCAGAGCATAGGCTTTGATCTTTAGGATGGTCCAATATTAATTTTTGACATGTATCGTTTATGTGTTTCAGGGGCTCGTTGTGTTAGTACGCTATTGTACGAGATGAAGCGTCGCAGGAAGGACTGTCGATTCGGAGTGATCTCAATGTGCATAGGCACCGGAATGGGAGCAGCAGCTGTGTTTGAAAGGGGAGACTATTGATGAACTCTGCAATGGTGGAGCTGTCTATCAAAGGATGCTCCATGTATGCTTTTGTTGGTATCTTATTATTCGTATTAGGCGTATGATTTTTTCATATTTCCAATATCCAATGACTGTGAGTTGTCAAAACTGTATGCGTCAAAATCAAAATAATATTATTTGCAATACCTCAAGAGTTGGTGAATGGAATTATTTGCCACACCCATTCCCAAGTATTGGTTGCACTTTTCTTTTCGTTTTTAAACTTGTCTGCCACTTTAATTTTTATTGGATTTTGGCTATTTTTTTTTAATTAATCACTGGTATCCGATCTATTGATCGACTAATTCAAATCGGGTACTGTATAGGCGAGGGCGACTCTCACAACTTATTTTGCTTTATTCGCAAACGTCATGATTTGAACCCCGACCTTGCTTAATGTACCTTTTAATTTGGTATGAGTAGTTAGGCTGAAGACTACTAAAAAATTATAAGGAATGGGTATTTAATTTTATTTGAAAATTTATTGAATAAAATATTTTCAGCCACATTAGGGGAAAACTTTGATTTGAGGTTCGGCAACAATAAATTATTTTTACTTACAGAAAATAATGTCATTGGGTACAAGGAATGAATATCTACAATTGAGTATTACACCAAACTTTCAAAATTTATATTTTAATCACTATTCAAATTTTGAGTATTACACCAAAAGTATTTAAACAAATTTAGTTAATGACAAGTGACTTGTTTGAATATATTTAAATAGTTAACTTACCTTATTGATAAAAATATAAAAATAATGTTCGAAATGAAAAGGAATAATAGTTAGGTGATCACTGATATAATTTTACCCTAAAAGTAAAAGTCGCATGGTATTATACTTTATATTGTGATTTTCATGGATGATTATTCAAGAAAGCTTTGGATTTACATTTTGAAGTTAAAATATTAAATTTTTGATGTTTCAAACCAAAAATTAATAATTATGTCATTTTCTTAAAAGATTTGTTGTTAAGCGTCTGCAACACTTTAACGATATATTTAAAATCAAGTCATTTCATGGTATTTTTTTCAATTAAGCATGAATAAGTATTGTACCGCCAAATGTCCTCCGCACATACTCGTATCGCACCTAGCAACCACAGAAGAAATCTAATATTTAAAGGGTAAATTGTGCGAATAGTCCCTTTTATTTTTGGTATGACTGCTTTCGATCATCAATTTAAAAATTAGAGGTACATAGTTTCTAAAATTATCGGTCCGTTCAATTTTAATACCTAAAATTATCGGTCCGTTCAATTTTAATACCTCAACGGTTAATTCTCGTTAACCCTTTAATAAAAGTATTATGTGACAATTAAAAAATAATAAACAAATCCACATAAGTCATCACTCACAATCAACTTCCCTTGTTTATTCTTAAACAAATATATGAACTTACCTTTGCTAATAAACCCGATCTCCCTTCGTTTATTTATCTTAGCTGCCATTTCGTCAGCCATTATTTCAACCAAAACATATTCATCGCTAATTTACTTAAACTAAACCAACCTCGTGTTGATTTTATAGCCAAGCTGGAGGGAGCTATTCGGTTACGACATTCATTTGACAGCCCTAGCAACGATATCAAATCCTTTAGCTGGAAAGCCTTGTTCAAATGGATCAAAGCTTGCCTTGGTTTTATAAGGTCTTCATTGCTTTCATTATGACAAAAGATAGAGGACAACTCGAATCTAGAATCAGATCGGGTCCAAGGTAAATATTTATACGGTGCAACTCTACTGCGTGAAGCGGGAATGAAGTTTAGAAAGAGCTCAAGCAAATGCTTGCTTGACATAAAATTTAACAAAACTAATGGTACAATTCTGCCGTTGGAAGTGGATGAGTGGACCGAACCATTTTTCAAAAACACCATGGGGTGGGAGCTGAGCTATTATCCAGAAGAAACCCACATTTGTGACTACGTTTTTCTAATAGAATATCTCATCAGATCTACTAATGATGTGGAATTACTTGTTCGGAAAAGAATTATCATCGACGTTAATAATTATTTATCCTTAATTTTTAAATTCACGACTAAAATCGATTTATATAATCTTCTTTGAAAAGAGGGTCATTCCCAAATTACGACGTTTTTTTAATAAAAAGGCAAAAACACATAATTTAATTTGATTGATTTGATTTGATGTAGTAGTATAAAGACCATATTTGGTCATGGAAAAGAAAAATAAAACAAATGTTGGGCTAATCATGTAGCATAAGCAATGAAAGAGTGATAGTACACGTGTTTGCATATAAGGCGCTTAAGGGATCTCCATTAGCTGGCAATGATATCACAGTTACAACACATCTGCACATGGTGGATTATCCCCCCGACTCTTCTATATTTATATAACGATTAATATAAAAATAAGTCAAATTAAATGTTGGTGTATAATGTTTTTTCATCCTATTTTTAAGTGTGTATTATTATTAAAATTTATCAAGTGACATATGTTACTTGAGAATTTTTAAAAATATTTTTAAAAAATATAAACATAACATGTGTTATTTAACGATAAATATTTAAAAATGTAATAAAAAATATTAGACATGTCTTAATAAAGAAAATTAAGCATAAAAAATAATTTAAATATAATTCAAACAATTATTTTTATGCTAAGACTTGGTATTGTTTTATCTGATTCTAAAGCTCAATTATGTCAGGCATGAAACAACGAGGGGATGTCGAAAAGACTTCACACAAAAAATGCTGCTTTCTTGCCTTTTAAGCGTATCAAATCTTTATCCCAAACCATTAAAATTCAAGCCTTAAAATCCAGAATTTAAAGATTTGTTTTAATAGGAAGAAATGTTACTTTATTAGATGACTTTGATTCAAATAATTTAGGGTAATGTACATAAATGGTCCCTCGACTCTAGGGTATTAGTTTATTAACTCCCCCAAATATTATAAATTATAAAATGATCCTCTAACTATAGAGTGTTGTTTTGTTGAGTCCATCGACTATTAAAAGTTATAAAATGATCACTCGACTATTCATTATGTTTCAAACTCTTCAATTTTTGTTAAAAAATTATCGGTAGTCTGAGTTGAACATTAACATGATGACTGAGATATGATGATTGCTTAAGATTTTGGGATCAGACTTTATCATATAACAGCCAACATGTTAACGTTAAACTCATAATACCATCAATTTTTTATCGAAAAGAATGCGTTTGAAATATATGAATAGTCGAGTAACCATTTTATAACTTTTAATATTTTAGGGACTCAACAAAGCAACATTCTATAGCTAGAGGATCATTTTGTAATTTATAATATTTGGAGAATTAATAAACTAATATCCTATAGCCAAGGGACTATTTGTGTAATTTACCCTAAATTTTTTGTAAATTTGTTTTAATTTATCTAGATTCAAAATCGAGCATGTATATTATTTTATTATAGTATTATATTATTTAAAAAAATTAAATTCAAATTGCAGCTACAAATTTAGAAGATACAAAAATTAAACAAAACATATCAAATATTTGAATTTAAAATTTAAAAATAAATTAAAATTTAACTTGAATAATATTTAAATTGAAAAAATTAAAGTGTCACTAATTCAATTTTTAAAATATAATATCTACTTGTTTGAATAATATTTAAAAACTATTCTTTGCAGTTTTACGAGTCACAACAGTAACAACTATTATTAGATGTCCTTAAATATTTGTTTATCTATTAATTTCTCTCAACATATTTTATAAGTAAATTACTTATTTAGTACCTAATCAATCAGTTTTGAATCGTTTTAATATTTAAACTTTTATTTTTTTAAATCACACCTAATGTTTAGTTTTTGTTTCGTTTTATTACATTTCCTTTAAAAACTTAATGGGTGATCTACACGTGATACCTTTTTTATAGATAAATTACATCATTCAGCACTCAACTATCTTCTCACTCTTATTTTGGTCACTAATGTCTAATTTTTTAAATTTAATTACTTAACTTTCAAATTACTCCTAATTTAATCATTCTAACGTTCAAATTTAAATTTTATGGTTAATTATATATTAATAAAATAATATAAAAATGTTATGTCACATAAATCATTAATAAAATAAATTAGAGTGATTAAAATAAGAGCAATTTGAAAGTAGAGTTGTTAAATTTTAAATTTTAGTACGAAAATAGGAGTGAGAAGATAATTGGATGATGAATAATGTAATTTACCCATAAAATGCAGCGTCATTAGGATTCTAACAACGAAGTATTAAAATGAAACAAAAATTAAATGTTAAGTATGATTTAAAATAACTAAAATTTAAATACTAAAAATGATAGTTTAAGTATTAAACGCGTAAGTTATCCTATTTTTATGGAGACATTTGTAATCATATTCTGCTCTTGAATATGTGTATAATACTAAAATATTTTTATTAAAATAAAGTTTTAATTGATATTAAAACAGAATAATGCATGTGTTCTAAGTACCACGGCTAGGTTTTTGCCGACCTAAAATTTTTAAGCAACAAAATTAGAAGCAAATGCAAAGATACCCCCTTAGCTCCCACCGGGAACCTTTTCTAACGACTGGCTACGTGCTGGGATGAAATGTCTGTGCATAATCCCTTGCATTTGGATAATATTACTGCACTATTTTTATTTATTATATTGCATTATTTTATAATCTTATAATTCTTCTTCACATGTTTGGTACAAGTTTTTGGGCTGCTAATTTTAACTTTATTATATAACTTATTTTATATTATTATTATTATTTATTTTGATTACTAATTTTTATTCTAATTATTAAGTATTAGAAAAACAGTGAAAATAACAACGAATTTTAATCTTTAAATTTTAATGAATAATAATTTAAATGACCAATTACCATGGGTGATCTGTTTTATATATTGAATGGAATATTGAAGCATGTTAAAACCCAAGCTGAGGCTTAATCACTTATGCATAGTTTGGACTAAAAACACAGCATCACATGGGGCGGTGCGCCATATCTAACGTTTTCTGTGTTTCTTACATTTATTATTATTCAAGGAAATGATTGGGGTTGTAATTTCTGTAGTTTACAACAATTTGACTTCTTTTTGGACATTATTTCCCCCTTCTTTTCTAGTATATAGTACTCAAACATACATCTACCAACATTTCATTTTCAATATCCACCGTGCATAGGGATGGACATGGGTCGGGTTTTGTCCAACTCGATTTGATCCAAAAATTTTATATCATTCACCTGATCCGACCCGACCTGATAATATATACCCTCCTCCACCAGACCAAAAATCGATCCGATTTTTAAGAGAAAATCCGACCCGACCCAAAATAATAATAAAATATTAGTTTTATTCAATAAAACAATGATTTAATTTTAAAAAATAATATATATACGAGTATTATTGTAATTATTCCCAAATATATAAGGTAAAATTATATTTTTTTCGGGTCGGGTCGGGTATTTTTCAACCTAAACCCGAATCCGACCCGACCCGAACATCACCTTTAAAAAAAATTACAACCGACCCAACCCGAACCTAAATTTAAAAAAATCCAACCCGATCGGATCGAATCAGATCAGAACCCATTAGATTCTGGTCCAATGCCCATTCCTAACCGTGCAGTTCGGAAACACGAGCTATTCGGTTTTGACATTGGCTTTGCAGATTATGGAGCTACCCTTCTTCTTCCTTTTTTTTTTTTTTGCTTATTACCAACCATAATGATAATGCCATAATAGTCTACATTTATATTTTTGTTGTAAACAATATTGATATTTAGTTTATTAATTGATCGATCCCGATAAGTTATTAAAAAGGTTTGTTATGGGGATGATCTTTCTAATTCAGTTGTTCCATTCACAACATCAAGATTTAGACTATGACCTTGCTTAAGAGATATATTGTGTTGATCTTCTAAACCAACTGGTTGTTGGTAGTATAAATAAATAAATAAATAAATAAATTTATATCTTAATTTTAAATAAAAATTACAATTAGCTATGCATATGCACATATAATAAATTAAAATTAGAAAATGTTAAAAAGGGTAAACCCATTCACCATCGCTCAATCACAAATTCTAAGGGGCTTATGATTGTTAGTAATGAATAATGCAATCATCTAACAAAGTGGTTTTCACCGTAACCTTGGCTTGTTATTGAGTGATCCTCTTTATCACTTACTGATTTTTCACTAAAAATATCATGGCCATGGACAAAGTGGAACCCTTTGGTTGGGAGATTATGAACCACTTGGGTAATCTCTGCCTAAATGCTTCTTGAAAACAACGACTCACTAACACAATATCTCTGTCCAAAATTGGTTCAACCAAGGGTTGTTTCCTATTCAATTCACTTTCTTTCTTACCAAACGCATTCAACTAAAAGGTTGGTGTAATTCATTGTTTTGAATGCCAAAAGAAAGCATGTTAGAAATCATGTCTTCCCCATAATGCAACCTCTATCGCTCATTTTGATAAGTGGGTTTCAAAATGTTTGAAACGAAGTGCCAAGTGTGAACTCCTTTGCTTCAATGTGCAACAAATTCAAAAGGAAAGAACATGATGGCAAGCTTTCCCACCATTTGTTTAAGAACTAGCTAGCAACGCAATAGTCAAAAACATGGTTAGGCTTCATTAATTTAACATTCTCATCAAAATACATTAAACGTATTTTAAAGCATAATTTATTCTATTCATAATATACGTGTTCGAAGCTCTAGCATTTATTAATGGATTTAAATGGAAACATGTGAGATTTTCAGTTAACTTGACTCAACTCGAGAAGCATACTTCTCCACCCTAATGTGACCCGACCTGAGTTTAAGGAGGCTTAATTCGAGTCAAAACTAACTCGAATTTTGAGACAAAATCACACCTCATCTGACTCATATATATTAAAAAATTTTATTTGGTAAAATAGGTACCTAATTGAAAATAAAAATAAAAAAAGGAATATTATAGCAATTATCCTTAAAAATAGAAGAAAAATTATTATTATCCTGAGTCAAATTGAAAATTTTCACCCTAAACCTGATCCGATCTCGCCCTTTACAACACTCGAACCAAAAACATTTTTTAAATCTAATTTTATCGAGTCGATTAAGATCAAATCCAAATTAAATTGTCATCCCTAGTGTCTCATCATAGACCAACTATTACTTGTCATAGAAAATGATTTTATTAATCAATTTACACTTTCTCAAAATTTAAATCCAAGTTTTGAAATTTTAACTACCCCAACACTATCTAGTTGCAATATATATGCTAGAAAATTTCATCTGTTCAATTGAAGAAAAAAGATTCCATTTATTAGACAGCTTTCGTTAACTATTCACTATATTTAAATTAGAATTGTCAAACACGAATCAACCTAATTCAGTGGTTAAAAGGATGATTGCTATCCTTAGAAGTCTCAGTTGACGTAATGTAAGTTCAATGTCCATTAAGAGCGAAATTCTTTTCCCCTCCCATGGAAATGATCATTTTGAAAAAGAAAATACATTTTAAAGCTGTTCGGCCTAAACTTGGCAATTCTACCACAAAAGGATGCAAGAAACCCTAATCTGTTTTCTTTTTCTTTTTCCTTGAAACATAAAAGGAACGGTTTCAACTTGGTATCTGGATAGACAATGTTTCAATTACTTTAATTTGACAATTAATCAACATCTTGTGCAAAAATTATAAAATCCCATTTCTTAGTCTATCTTATCATTTATGTACAAATTTTAATCATGCAGACCTCTTCACATGGCTTAAATCATGCAAACGTTTAAGCCTATGATTTTGATTCTCGTATTGGACTTATATACATACGTGCATACAAGAAATTAAGATATGACTCCTAAATAATTCTCAATAAATATTTTTTTGTTTGCACCTACTTATTTTATTGATTTTAGAAATTAAAAAATTAACGTTGAATGAAAATTAAAATTATGATACCTTCTTGAAAGGCTTGCTCATGCAAGCTATGGACAGATAGACGGGTCTCCCACTCAATTTTTGCATTATCTTAACTTTATATGTTTATATATTCTTTGATACATTAAAAAAAATGGATTCTATATTCTTTTGGATAATCAAATATTTTATTTTACAACCCTAAAGGAAATATACGTCTCCTACATAAACAACCATAGGAGAAGTTCAAGAAAGTTATGATGTTAGTTTAAATGAAAATTGTTTCTATGAAATTTGCTGTGTATATCTTTTTCTTCATCATAAATTAAAGTGTTACATTTGAATTAATGCCTCTTTATATATTACAATAATAATTATATTAATTAAACTATATCAGGTCCATATTTGATGCATAAGATAATTAATTAATCATTCAGATAAAAAAATAATTAGTATGTTATATTACTCAAATTTTCAATTAATTTAAGACTTGAATATGAGCGGAGCTAAAAAAAATATCTTGGGTGTTAAATTTAAAAAAAATATTTTTGGGGTCAAATTTAAGAATCATTTGATGAAATTATTTTAATTGGATGAAAATGAATAATGAGTGTCAATTTATGTTTAAGGGTCAATATTATTTTTAAAAATATATTAATTTTATTTTTAAAATATTTTTATATCGAATTTATAAAAAAAAATTATGACTCCCCTCGTTATAAGCAGTAAAGGAAAATTCTACAACGCTCGACGAACACCGATGAGCACTATAAACAATGAGCACCATTAATTTCATTTATAAAAATTTAAAATTCTAAAGGGCTCAACGTATAATTATAAATTAGTTAAAAATTTAAACGTAAATTATTTAAAATAAAGGGTAAACTATATCAATGACCACCTAACTATTGTCCCTTTTCATTCTGACAATAATTTTTGAAATTTTGTCAATTAAGTCACTCAACTATTTAAATACATTGAATTAAGCCACTTGCCATTAATATTTAACGGATATTTGGTATAATTACATATTTGGTCACTGTTACTTATGTATTCTATCAATTTGGTTATAATTTTAATATATTAAAATAAACTTATCCGCCAATTCAAATGGCGCCTATTAAATTTATTTTTAATTTAACATATTTTTCTCACTAATCTAGAGGAAAGAAAATTTTGGGCATTCAAATGATGCTGAAGGGAATCGAACCTGGGGTTCCTAGGTTGAAGAAGCAAGACTCATTCATTGAAACAAAGTAGTTATTTGGTTTAAACTTGACTACATATCTTATATATGTTGTATATTAATAAAAATGTAAATTCTTAATATTTTATATATCTTAACTTAAATTTACATACTAAATTAATTTTACATCTTAACATTAAAAATATTTTTTTATCTTAACATATTAAATATATTTTATTATTTTCGTAACCTAAAAATATATTTTATTCTTATTTTAATTTAAAATATATTTTAATCTTATCTTCAATTAAAAAATGTAATATATTCTTATCTTAACTTAAATATTTATATTTTATTCTGATAATATTTTAAATTTAAGAGAAAATATAATATTTTTTTTGGTTAAGATAAAAATAAAAAATATATTTTTAGTTAAAAAATATATTTTTAAGTTAATATAATAAAAAATGTGTTTTAAGTTAAAATAAGAATTAATTATATTTAATAATTTAAGGTAAGAATATAATATATTTAATAATTTAATTTAAGAATATAATTTATGTAATAAGTTAAGATAAGAATAAAGTAACTCCTTAAATCCTAGGTTAGTAAAGTCGGGTTAAACTGAGAGACAATTTAAATAAACCCACAAGTTTGTAAGAGACTTTGACCCAAGTTTGAGTATAATTGGGCTTGGATTGAGCCCAATAACTGTAAAAGGGAATTTTTAAGTTGTAGTCAAAGTTATGAGGACCAAGGGGACAGTTTCACCATTTTAGTTTAAAGGCTGAAAAACCATTAAGGATTGGTGATATCACGTTTGATTCCCTCTCATACCTCTTTTACATAACTTTGTCTTCTTCTCTCCTTCAAACTTTCTCATCCTCCATTGTTTATTAGCAAAGTTTGAAGATTTATTATCCATCAGCTTTAATCTGAGACACCAAGGTAAGAATTATAATCTTCATCCTTAGGGATTTTATTCAAGCACTCAATCTCCTCATTCCATCATGGTATCTAAAATGTGGGTTTTAGTGGGGGTTTAGAATCTCATAACAAACCAACTCATTTTTCTAGAGATTCAAGCCTCAAGAAACATTCTAAATTTCTTTCTAAACTTCCCCAACAACATTAATAACCATTATGCTTAATTATTGTTTAGTGAGGGAAGTTGGAGAAAGCTCCAAGTGCAAGGAAAAGGAAAAGCTCACTCATGCTTGAGTTGAAGGAGCTTCCAACAGCTTAGAAACCCAAGGTAACTCACTTCTAACTCATCTCTACTGAAATGCAGATCACTAGGTGTGTTTGTTATGTTGCATGAGTTATGAAGCATATTCATGGTAGATTTAGCATCTAGTGTTTTTCAGTGTGTTTATGAACTTATTATGACCCCTATAATCAAACATAACATTTTAATAATGTTTGGGACCTCAAAAGGATTTATAGGAGTGTTAGAGAAGTAATTTCATGCCCAAAACATGGTATTTTTGGGCACGAGTAATGATACTGAAAGAACAGTATCAATATTGTTCTTCAGATGTTAAAATAATTGGGGTTTTGGGCTAGAAGTATCGATACTCATATAATGGGTATTGATACTATAGGTAGGGTATCGATACTCGTAGAGTGGTATCGATACCAAGTTCAATTACCAAATTCCAATAGCCATTTTTGGTATCCATACTCATGGGTGTATCGATACCGAGGGTAGACTATTGATACTCCCCAATGGGGATATCGATACTTTTCAAAACATCGAAGCCAAATTTGGTATCAATACTCATGACAGTATCGATATCCCATACCAGAAGTATCGATACTCAAAATAGAGTCTCGATACTAGCCCTTTGTTATCAGTCTTCAATAAGTCAGTAGTATCGATACCCATATGGTAGTATCAATACCCAAATGTCAGTAAAGATACTGAGGGGCTTAGTATTAGTAACCACAAACAATTTTAGGTAAAAAACCTAATAGTTTTAAGGGATAGAACTGAGGGACCCAATGATAATAGGATGCCATGAAATAAAACTACAAATGAGAACAATAATAAACTCATAACAGTTAGAAACAATAAAAGTTAGGATGACATAAAACTAGCCTTGTTTGATGCTCGGGACACAATTAGGACAGTCGAGTTACTTTAGCAGATACGATCGTACAATTGGATTTTCAAGTTAGTACCAAAGCACTTTAGCTGCCAGTTTGGCGCATATTCCCCAAGACTTGACAGAGTAAGTTGATCGGGTGTACGTTTTCGATGTAGTTCCATATCTCACCCAAATACCCAAGGGTATTTAGGAAGGCTAGAGGGGTGTGTGAGCTACGAGATGCAGAACCCTCAGCCACACCATGACACCTACCTCAATATGTCATATAAGCATTTCCTCACATCTTCATACCTATGCCTCTAGCATGCACATTTAGTGAATGCATGTAGTATAGTATATTTATTAGTTAGGCACTGAGCTCGTAAGCTCAGTGTTCGGAATGTGTTTCCGTACGCAGGTTCTTAGGAGGCTATTCATGAAGCGTTATCGTCACCAAATATTTTACTACCACAGAGGCACCAGAGTACATCTTGATTTATTTTAGAGGGCATGCACTATTGTAGATCCTTTTGTATTCAGATGTAACTCTATTTTGATTTTTAAACTTGGTGTATTTATTTTGGATGATTTGGGAGCTCCCCATATTTTGTAAACTTTGAATTATTACGCTTTATTTTATTTTACTTGGGATGAATTTTACATGATGTCTTATTGTCGTTTCTAAAGAAAATTTTAGATTAGCCACTCTAGTGGTCCCATATGACATCACAATCCAATGATCTTTGGGTCGGACTGGATTACGATGTTATAGATAAAATGTATATTTTTTAAGTTAAGATAAATACTAAAATATAATTTTAAGTTAAAATAAGAATAAATTGTATTTTTAGGTTAAGACAAGATTAAAATATATTTAATAAGTTAATATAAAAATAAAATATATTTTTAATGTTAAAATGTAAAATTAATTTAATATGTGAATTTAAGTTAAGATATATAAAATATTAAGAATTTAAATTTACACTAATATACAACATAAATAACATATGTATTCAAGTTTGAACTAATTAACTATTTTGGCTCAATGGCTGAGTTTTGCTTCTTCAACCCATAAACCCGATGTTCGATTCCCTTGGATATCATTCTCTGATTATTGAGAAAAATATATTAAATTAAAAATAAATTTAATTGTCCAATTGGATGGTGACACTTAGCACCAATGACACATGACACCCTTTGATTTGAGGGTTAAGTTTATTTTCATTTATTAAAATTAGGATCAAATTAATAGAATATATAAGTAACAATGACCAAATGTGTAATTATTCCAAATATATTAACTATCACATCAGCTTCTCCATTAAATATTAACGCAAGTGACTTAATTGAATGTATTTAAATAGTTGAGTGACTTGATTGACAAAATTTTAAAAATAATGGTCAAAATGAATATAGGCAATAGTTAGGTGGTCACTAGTGTCACTGGTATAGTTTACCCTTTATTTTAAAAAAATTTAATTTTTAACTAATTTATAATTATACGTTGAGTTCTTTAGAATTTTATATTTTTATAAATTAAATTAACGGTGTTCTTAGTTAGTAGTGTTCGTCGAACTTGACAGACTCATTCAAACAGTAAATGACAAATTATTCTCTGAAATTATATTTTTTTGTATTGATATTTTTTTTCAAAAGTAGTATTTGTATATTAATATCTCCATCAATAGTATTTGTTTAACAATGATAATTTATAGGGATACCAATAGATTTAAAAATATTTTTAAAGGTATATATATTAATTATATAAAAAAAATTACATATAGAGTCTGCACAACCAATAAAATAAATAATTAATTAAAATAATTAATTTTTTAAACGAACACCCATCAATTTTTGAATACCATATGTATCATGGAGACATGACTAAAATTGTGACAATATTTACAGGATAGTTTTATCTTATGACAACTTAATTTAAGATTAAAGAATGAAAGAAAATAAACACAATTCAAAATATTATAAAAATTATAACATTTTTTATTGAACGAAATCTAAATTATTAATTTTTTAATATTTTCGATTAAACTAAAAATGTTATGAATAAAGTAACGTGAGAACCGAAAATGTTACTGAGAATAATAACAATTGAAAATTTTTAAAAATAATTTAATATTTTAAATTATATCTTTCCTTAATTTAGACTAGTTTTTCTTAGACACTTGTGTATTTACCTGATACTTACCTGTCCTAAAATTCGTACACTTACCTACATGTACTTATCCTACCACGTCGACCACGTGGGCTCGAGGCTTCGCTCTTAAGGCGAGTACGTTACACCACCGTCTACTGCGAGTACGTAATGGATACCTCTCATCCAATAAAAATTTAACATGATGACGTGGACCAAAGGGGAGCAGCCGAAGTACCAGAGAGGAAATGACAATGCCATGTTGACTGGTGGTGGCGCTAAATTTATTTTCAGTTAATGGCGGTTAAAAATATTTAAACGTGGTTAAAACTCTGGTAAATTTGAGTTAATCAAGATTTAACTGTGTTTCTCTCTCTCTTTCCCTATAAAAAGAGATTGCGCCATTCGAGTTTCTCAATTGACTCCACATTTCATTTTCCTCCCTTTTCCATTTCTTCCAAACAGTTGAATTTGAAAGCATTGTATGATCGAGAGAAAGGGAGAATCAACAATGGGGATTTCTCACAGCTGCTTCTCTTCATTCACATTGCTACTCATTCTGTTGTTCGTTTGTGTCAGTGCCACAGCCCAGAAAACAGAGCTGAATTCGAGGTACATTTTCCACTCTCCCGGGAAACAATCGGCTCACCATGATTTCTCCTCCTGTCATTTAACTTTCCCGGAAAGCACTTTCAGTGGTGCCAGCTAGTTTTTGATCAATTCTTTCGTTTGTCATGGCAGGCTTGCTGAGGGAAACAAATTGCAGGATTTAAACAAGTCATCAATGGCACACCAGTGAGTAATCCATTTCACTTAATTCTTTTCACGTATAAGCCATTGAGATTGGATCTGATAGATCATACCAGGAAGCAGATGATGAACCAGCTAACAATTATAAGGATTTGTTTTCCAGTTGTCAGTTTCGTTTTTTTCCAGATTTAAAGTGTTGCCTATATTTTCAGGTTCGATGATGAGAAATGGAGAAATGAGCATGCTGTGGAGAATCCAGAGGAAATTGCTTCAATGGTTGATATGTGAGTCTCATCCTTTCTACAATAGATTGGATCAGCTGAACTTTAATTTAGTTCTGCATACTTATCAAATTGTCAGTTCACATAATTAATAGTTAGTTCTTTGTAAATGAAAAAGAGAATTGATTCCACAGGAACAGCTCCCACATGCAGAAATCTGTAATTTCTGACAAACATCCCTTTTCTCCTGTCTTTCTTCTCTGGTTCTAGGCTAGTCAAAATGTCCTTTCATGTACGTAATCGACTCTCGAGATGATTCATATAATTTTTTAACTATGTTAGTATTCGAATTCTAAATCTTTCATCTATCTAAAGCTAGCTAGGACATGCAGTAAAAGGTATAAAATCTCTTCCCTACTTCATGATTCTTGAGGAATCCATTGCCATGTTCTTCACTGTTATAAAATTTGGTTTAGTCTGGGCCAACTTTTTTAACTTGTTAGCCAGCTGAAGCGCATGCCCTTGTCCCGAGATCCGCGCATCTCGTTCATCTATTATCCCTTCCTTGTCCAACTATAATTCCAACATCACTGAGCGTTATATTCAATCACTAAGCCAAATAAGGATCACTCTTGAATTATTAGTTCCCATCACTAAATTCTGATTCGAATGAGGTAATATTGTATGTATGATGATTATGATGTAATCATGGGGTTGTTTTGGATGTTTATGCAGGAGCATAAAAAATAGTACCGTGAGGAGAAACTTGGGATATTTCTCGTGCGGATCAGGGAATCCGATCGATGACTGTTGGCGGTGTGACCGGCTATGGTATCGTAGGCGGAGACGCCTTGCGAACTGTGCCATCGGGTTCGGACGCAATGCCGTCGGTGGTCGTGATGGAAGGTACTACGTTGTGACTGACTCTGGTGATGATGACCCTGTGAACCCTAAGCCAGGGACCCTGCGCCATGCTGTTATCCAAGACAGGCCTCTTTGGATCGTGTTCAAGCGTGACATGGTGATCACGTTGAAGCAGGAGCTGATCATGAACAGTTTTAAGACGATTGACGCTCGTGGTGTCAATGTTCATATCGCTTACGGTGCCTGCATCACCATCCAGTTTGTCACCAACATTATCATCCATGGACTCCACATTCATGACTGCAAGCCCACAGGGAATGCCATGGTTCGAAGCTCCCCGTCTCATTATGGATGGAGAACCATGGCGGATGGGGATGGCATTTCGATCTTCGGTGCGAGCCATATCTGGATCGACCACAACTCACTGTCTAATTGTGCTGATGGACTTATCGATGCAGTAATGGGATCCACAGCAATTACAATCTCGAACAACTACTTCACTCATCACAATGAGGTCAGAATCAGATGGATAATAGATTTATGCTTTGGGAAAGACTTGAACCAATTCATTCAAGTTATGTGATTGCAGGTTATGCTATTGGGACATAGTGATTCTTATGTAAGAGACAAGCAGATGCAAGTCACCATTGCTTATAACCACTTCGGTGAGGGTCTTATCCAACGAATGCCGAGGTAAGAGCATTCTTAAAATCTCGTCCTACTGTAATCTCTGTGTCCTTTTCTTCGTAAACCGACTCGATTTGCCTTCACCGATATCTTACAGGTGTCGACACGGATATTTCCATGTAGTGAACAATGACTATACACATTGGGAAATGTATGCAATTGGCGGAAGCGCCGATCCCACCATTAACAGCCAAGGCAACCGTTTCCTTGCCCCTAATAACCCCTTTGCCAAGGAGGTATGTTACATTAATCAAAACCAACAAAAATTTTCCCCCCATTTAAAAGTGGTAAAATCATGATGCCAAATTTTGTTACATTTGATATGGTTTAGGTTACAAAGAGAGAAGGCGGATGGAATGGTGAATGGAAACAATGGAATTGGAGATCGGAAGGAGATCTGTTGTTAAACGGAGCATATTTCACTCCATCAGGTGTAGGAGCAGCTGCTAGCTATGCCAGGGCCTCGAGCTTAGGTGCCAAATTGTCTTCCTTGGTCAGCATCATTACTTCAAATGCAGGAGCTCTTGCCTGCATCAATGGCCGAATGTGTTAACTCACGTTGTCTTAACCGAAATTCCAAGCAAAAGGAGATGAAAACCTACTTGTTTTCTTCCCATATGCATATAATTATGTTGTTCCATATAGCACGTAGTGTAAAACATTTCACTTGTCATAACATGCCATTGATCGACCTCGGCCTCTTTTAAGCTGCGTTAGTGTTGCTCATTTCCATGTTTTTGCTTCTCTTTGTAATTATGTATTTCCTCTTACCAGTCTAATGACTCAAATTGCTGCTTACTTTAAAAGATACTGGATTATGTATAAGCTTTTGAGAACAAATAGGCATGTAATCAACTCAAAGCCGATCCTGTTGGTTCGTGCAATCATGTATGACATGCATTTCATTTCTCACCTGTTTCGAATTCAAACCATTAATCATTCACTACCACTTCCTACTAGACAAGCAGATATCAATAACAGTAAGGCAAATACTAAGACAAACAAAGCTCAAAATGGGGTGCCAACTTCACTCCTTGTTTCTGTAGGGCTATACAGAGCTGATCTGTTCCTGGGCCTATTCTCTTCCAGCTGCTTCACAACTTCATCCATGGAGGGTCTCACCGAAGCTACGGGAGCACAGCATCCCATTGCAAGCTTCAGTGCCTGAACTAATCCGTCTTCCATTGGACTTCGGATACCTTTCAACACTTCTATGTCAAAAACCTCCATTGTTGTCTCTTCCAATACTGCTGCTTTCACTATCGAAGGCAAATCCCCTGCATCCTGGCCTCTCCCATTTTTCCCAGGTTTCTTGCCTATCAAAATCTCCAATAACAATATCCCAAATGCATAAACATCTGTTCTGGTGTTGCATTTCTTCATACTTTGAAGTTCTGGTGCCTTGTAACCTTCGCTCTTTGCGACAGCCACCATTTCTTCAGCTACAGCTGGGATCATTAGCCTGTCAAGTCCATAATCAGCAAGCCTGACCACAAAGAAGTCGTCTACCAGCACGTTTTTGGACCGAACATTCCCGTGGGTGATTGGTGTCTCGAGACCTGTATGAAGATGTGCTAGTCCTTTGGCTATTCCCAATACAATCTTGTGCCGCCGAGCCCAGTTCAAAACCGGCTTTCCTGCTCTTGATTCTGCATTTAATCACAAACATACAATAACAATTCGGTAAATTCACAAACAATGGCCATTAATTCACATGCAGAAAAGATTCAACATGCTTACCAATGAATTCATCTAGTGACAGTACAGTTAATTTCAATATATTTACAGATAAAGTTGATACCAGTATCAAATGACATAAATATCTTTTGAAACCTTAAGGAAAATTTAGCACATGCATACCATGTAAAAAGTTATGCAGGCTTCTGTTTGGAAAATAGTCATAAATAAGAAGCTTCTCCCCTCTCTTCCCCTGATAGAAAGCTCTCAGTGGAACCAAATTCTCATGTCTAACCTTCCCCAGCTGTCTTATAACTGGCAGACACGAACTCCGGTCATTGCAACTGCCTTCCCTCAGCAACCTCAATGCTATATTTCCACCGTCAGCAAGCTTTGCCTTATACACAGTCCCATAGTTTGTCTTCTCCATGACTTGACCAGTTGCATTTAGTACATCCTCTAGCGTCAAATGCTCACCGCCTTGGAACAAAATTAGTTTGCTATCACCGGTAATTCCACCGACACCAACACTGCTTTCGTCTTCCTCACCCGTCTCCAGTTCCTCTTCACTATCCCCTCCGCTGCTCTTCTTCCTGTTTTGTATATAGCCAATGAACAACGATGCCAAGACTACTACTCCGGTCATTAGACCGATCACGATGCCAGCAATCGCACCTGGACTCAGTTGTGACCTGCCACTGCAACTATTTAAAGGCAACCCACATAGCCCTGGATTGTTCCCTTCAAAAGCTTCATGGCCAAACTTTCTTTCACCAAAATCCGGCAACATTCCAGTGAAGTTATTGTGGGAAAGGTTTAATTTTTCAAGTTTCAAAGTGGCTAAACTCTGTGGAATTTGACCTGAAAGCGTGTTAGTTGAAAGATCAAGCTCTTTAAGAGCTTGAAACCTAGTTATAAACTCTGGGAAATCCCCTAAAAACTTGTTGTTACCAAAATCAAGGGACTGGAGATTAATACAAGTGGAATTTGGTAATGCAGGTCCAGGGAGAGACCCAGATAGTGAATTACCATGAATCTTAAGAGAAACAAGTCTATCACACAAGTTCCAAATGGAGGGAGCTAAAACCCCAGAGAGCAAGTTGTCATTCAAATCAACATCAGATAATGAAGTGCTGTAACCAAGCTCAAGAGGGATAGTCCCACTCAGTGAGTTAATGTTAAGGTAAAGACTTTGGAGCATAGAGAACTCCCCAAGCTCCCTAGGTAGAGAACCAGAAAGGTTAGCAGAGGGGAGCTGAAGTGAAACAAGGTGTAAAGATGGGTCCTTGGAAAGAGAGAGATTGGTCCATTGTGGAGAGGAAAGGTCAGAGCAAGAAAGAGGAGTGCCATTGGGGAAGACCCATTTAAGCCCTCTCCACTGACAAAGAGGAACCGAAGTGTTCCATGAAGATAAGAGTAAGTTCTCAGAGTTACCTTGCAATGAAGCTTTGATCTTTCCCAAGATAAGCACAACATCTGGTGAAGAAGAAGAAGAAGAAGCAGGTGATTCATTGTGTGCTGAAAGTACGCCTTTGGTCAAGACAAAGGAGAAGAAAATGCAAAGAGAGTAAAGTTTGATCAAATCCATGAAAGTACCAGAGACAGAGAGAAGGAAAAAAGGTGCAAAGTTTAATGTTGTTTAGTGGAGTTTTCAATGAGGAAAGAAGGGTTTTCTTTTTGGGAAAGTTAACAAAGTATTTGAATATGAATAAACGGTCATGATTACACTACCCAAACTATATACAAATTCAAACTTGTAGTCACCATTAAAATTCTTGTTTTTCCCCCTACAAAATGTTAATGAAGGAGCAGGTGGAACTGAACTCAGAAACAATAACTACAGTAATCTACAGTTCTAAATCACACATTGAGTTTGCTTTGTATGTTTATGTACTTATTATCCCTCATGGCTCTCTCACCTATGGGACCATGTCCTCGTTATAAATCTACATATTAATCTTCATTTGCTCTAAAAGCCGACAATAATATATATATATATATATATGTATATATATATATATATATATATTTCAAACGTTATGCAAGTAATTGGAGATTTCTTTCTTTTTGCGATTAATGGGACCTCCAATAATGTCTTTTTAGAAATAAAAGAAAGGAAAAAGAGCCTTTTATAGTGGTGCTAACCATGCAAAATATAGGCAGTTTTATTTGAACTTTGAAGCATTTCACTATTCAATTTCACGCCAACCCATTCAAACAATCAGTGGTTTTATTAATCATTATTTTCAGCTATCATCACTCTTTTCTATTGTCCATATATATATATATATATATATATATCTTTGACCTTTGCTTTCTCTTGTAATATCCATGAGAAATAGCGATTGAAGTACAGTATTGAAATCTTAGACGTTTCATTTTTTTTCAATTTGAATAAATTTTAAATTGAATTCAGCTTATAAAATGAAATAAAAAATATATATTGATTTAATTAATATATCCCCTCGTGAAGTTCTGAAATTGAATACAAAAATAGATTCATGAACTTAATGTAATGAATTTTGAAATAATGTAGCCACATTTATGAAGTGGAAACAAATTTTAACTACGCACTATACCTACGATGGCAGGGTGCCGGTTCTATCTCTATACAATGTCGGACAACATAAAGTTGCAGAAATAAAAATACCAACCGCTCACCGTCCCATTCTTTACTATGGCCAAACAAGTGGTACTACTTACATTTTAGCTATGATCAACAACTTTCCCTTACATTTTTATGATTTATGTTAGGGTAAACTGCACGTTTGTTACCGGTCACTTTTCCTTCTTTTTTTTCAAATTTAACGTTTTAGTATAATTGACTGCTCCTCTCCCCCTTTCACTTGGATATTTTACCCCAAAGTTAAGAAAATGGTGAAGTTTATACAATCTAGATGGCCATGGGAGGTCCACATATAGCCTTCATACACCATAGCTCTTTATCTATTATGAATTGTGTACAAATCTTTCTCTAATCTGTAAGATATAGTCCACTTTTAATTCGAATATCATGTAGTTATCTCGAAAAGCCAGTCTCAGAAGTACGGATTCAAACATCTTACGAGTACCAAAATTAAGAAGTTGCTAATAACAAGGCAACAAACGAACACATGATTCATCCAATGCAACAAATAAAATGTTGTTGGATTTTTACTATGTTTATTCATATCTCCTAAAAATTTTTGAATCAAAATCATAGTTACAGGGATAACTAATTATTTAATGCCAAAAGATACGGACCACTAAACAAGTTATTAGATACTTGAGCAACATAAATCGGGAATGGAGGGCTTGTTACCAGTAGTCCTTGCAAGAACATAAACCATTCTCAAAATGGTGAAAACGCTTCCGATCCCTGACAATTATTTCACGTTTGTAGATCTTCGAGATCAGTTTTATCGAAGAGTGACAATCCTCGCATACACGGAGGTTCTTGACAATCCGGAGTGGCGTTCCAGGGCTTGTGTTGATTAAGCCGAATGCAAGGGCAATCCTTTCACTGTGATAGTGTAGTGTGCTTTCTTTTTCTTCCTCGTCGTCGATGTTGAGCAGAACTCGAGAGGTATCCGGTTTATATCCTACCGACCTCATTTGCTCTGCTATTTCCCGTAGCATTGAATGAATCTCTTGAGCACTGGGATGGGACTCATCTTCCACAAGAAACTGATGAACGACACCGTCAAGCTCAATCCAACTGCACCCGGGGTCTTTTCTTACATCCATCTCCTTCATTTTTAATCTCACCCTTGCAACTGATTCCCAATCTCTAGAAGCAGCATATATGTTCGACAACGACACGTAAGCTCCGCTATCACGAGGAGCTATATTCATCAAAATCCAAGCCACATGATCACCCATCTCGATGTTTCCATGCATCTTGCAGGCACCTAACAAGGCCTTCCATATCACATCGTCTGGTTTTATTGGCATGTTTGATATGAACTCTTCAGCCTCTTTAAGTAGCCCAGCACGGCCAAATAGATCAACCATACACCCATAGTGCTCAAGCCTAGGTTCAAAATCAACTTCATTAACAATATGATTGAAAAACAAACGCCCCTCTTCCACTAACCCTGCATGGCTACATGCACTCAAGATGCCAATGTAGACAACATCACTAGGAGTTACCCCCTCACGTTCCATCCTCGAAAAATAATCAAGAGCCTCCATTGCTCTACCATGGATTGCGAGACCCCCGATTATCGCGCTCCAGGTAATCATATTCGGTTTACTTATCTTGTTAAAGACCTGAATTGCTTCCTCAATGCTCCCACACTTGGCATACATATCGATCACCGCAGAGCCAAGAGCGTCGTCGATCACGATCTCATTCCTCTCAGCATACAAATGCACCCATTTCCCCAACTCGAGTGCCCCAACTCTTGAAATGGCAGGAAGAGCACTCACCAAAGTCACATAATTAGGTCTCACTTCCCTAATTTGCATCAAACGAAACATCTCAATTGCTTCAATAAAATACCCATTTTGGGCGTACCCAGAAATCATCACATTCCATGAAATCACACTCCTTTGAGGCATTTCATCAAACAATTCCCTAGCAGCATCTAAATCACCAACTCTTACGTACCCATCAATCATTACATTCCATAAAACAATATTACCTTCTATTCTCCTCTTATCCTTCATCAATTTGGCACCATTTTCAAACTCGGCCATCATTTTGTTAAGCAAAAACTGAGCTTTTTCCATGGCTCCGCACATAATATACATTCTTACAAGATTACTGGCAACAAACTCATCTTTTTCAAACCCAAATTTGACTGCCAACCCATGAACCTGTTCCCCCTCTAGAACCCTCCCAGTTCTAGCACAGGCCTTTAAAACCGAAGGAAAAGTAAATTTATTTGGCAAAACGGTCCCGTCAGTGAGCATTTCAGCAAACAAAAGCAACGCTTCTAACGGCTCGTTCGTTTCATCGTTTTCATCGGATTCTGATAGAGCCCTGATGATTGTGTTCCAAGAAAAACAGTTAGGTTGGCTCATTTGGAGGAAAACCTTGCGGGCGTAATCGATGTCTCGGTGAGCGGAAAGGGAGGAGAATTTGAGGATTTCGGCTGCGGCTAAAGGGTCGTGGATTTGGCCTGTTTTGAGGAAGAGGGCGTGGACTTGGTGGAGTTCTTTCATGGTTTTGCATCTTGTGATTTGCGGGAAGAGTGATGATGGGTGGGTTGGGAAGCCAGAGGAGAGGGAGGCGGCGGTTGAGTTGAAAATGGTCGTTGGGTTCATCCAGGCGGCTCACAGGAGGAGGGTTCTGGAGCTGTGGATGGGATTTTATTTTGGGTGGTGGAGGGAAGGCTTTCCAAGGATATGGCGGGTTTAGGTTAATACGGTAGTAAGAAACACATGAAAAAAAATGTCAAATCAGTACTTAAATTTAATTCAAATTATGAAATTAAACTTAAGCTTTAACTAATCAAAGTATTTATATTGAATATATCTTGTTATTATAAATTACTTTTATTGGATTAATCGAAACATAAGAATTTTGTACTTAAATATAACGAAAATCTATCAAGTATTTAAATTTTAAAACTAAAAGAAACATATATCTTATTCAACTAATATTTAAATTAACAAAAATTTAAAATGATAATATACGAAAGAATTTTTTAGAATCACAATATTCAATTCCAACAAATGATTCAGCCCATGATATCGTAGTTTTCTATTTTTTATATATGGTGAATAGAATATTATCTCAAAAGGATATCCAAAAAGAAGAAGAATAAAAGTTATAAGCCAAGTGACTTCTATTAGGCGTAACTGTAACTGTTAACTGTATAACGCTCCCTCCATCACTCCAAAAATATTCATATTTCAAAACCCTTTTTTAAACTAAAAAATCCGCACTCTTTTACTCCAACTTGTCACTGCCTGCCCCCTTCCTCCTCCAATCATTAAAGTCGTGTCGACCTCCCAATTATGTCGTACACGTGGCATTTCTCAACTCGATGAACATTACACGTTACAATTCCCGAATAGTGCACCAAGTGCCGGTGACAATGAGCGACGGGTGCTCATGTTAAATGACGTGTTACCCCGTGGCGCACGTTAGACTAGACAAATGAGATAACAAAAAAAAGGGTTTAGAACAATGTTTTAAAAATCGGACCAGTCGGTTCAACTGAAAATCGCTAACTAGTCCGATTTATTATACATCGGTTAAACCGTTACTAGTGAACAGGAATGAACCATTGAACCGGACCGGATCGTGAACCGATTGAAAATCGGTTTTGTTTTTTTTCTAAAAAAAATTAAATCAAACGACGTCGTTTGTTAAACAAGCCGAGTCAAACTCAAAAACTTTAAAAGTAAACTTAACTCTACTAAAAAACTCACGAGCTAAAAATTATCAAGTTCAACTCGAACTTGAAATATAATATTGAAACTTGAACTCAAAAAGGCTCGAACTCAAAAAAAAAAATTAGAAGTTCGATTAAAGCCTTAAATTTGAGCTCGATTGAAGCGAAAGAATAATTCGCTCTGTGCTCACCAAAAGGCTTAATGATTTTGAATGCCAAATTATCTCTATTATTTATAGAAGTCAGTTGAGATGCTCTTCTATATTTCTTAGCCATGTGAGATTTTTTTTTAAAAAAAATATTAAATCAAACGACATTATTTGTTATGATTTTTTAACCCCAAATTTATTTTTTGATTATAGTTATATAATTATATTTATTATTTAATATGTACCTTAAATATTATGTTGTAGTTGATTTAAATCATTTTGTTTTACTTGATTTTATGGTTTTTAACTTATATATGTTATAACTTGATTTGAATATGATTTGTGATATAAAAAATTATTTTTTATTAAATGTTTTTTTATATTTTTATTTAATTTTTTTAAATAATTAATTAATTATGACGTCGTCCGGTTCTTCCGACCGTTTCGACCGATTGAACCAGTGAATTAGTGAACCGATAGTATGACCGGTCCGGTTCTAAAAACCATGGTTTAGAATAACCTCGCTGTGACATTCGCTGTAGTCCAGTTCCCTTCCTTTTCGCTTCCGGTCCTCAGCCTGGGCCGCTTTTGAGCTGCCGGTTCAACACTGGATCCGCCAGGTGATGATGTCACAGTGAACTCGCACGTGCCTAAACTGGGTTTGTTGGCACCCAGGATGATGGCAGCTGATTGCTTGTGTGGTACTCCAGTGGTGCTCTCGTTTATGTGTGCATTGTTGTTGTTGTTCCCGCCAGATGCCGCCGCCTCAGTGTTGCTCGGCCTAGCCTGATAGGCTCCCGAATCAGGTGTCATTGCTAGTGTATCGCTTGAATCAACGACCGTCGACTCCCTCATCAGACTCTTCGGATTTGACGGTCTAGATTGCTCTGTCCTCGCCGGTATACCTTGAGAAGTGAGCGAAGTTCTGGATCCTAGCCGAATCCAACGCATTCCTTCTAGCCGACGGTATGGGAGGATTAGAAGCTGATTCCGAAGCCAAAGCTGGAACTGAAACTTGAGAAACTCTACTGACTATAGGAGAAGCTGAGGTTGTGACAGTTGCGGCGAGGGAAGAGGAGGAAGGATAGAGAAGATCAGCGCTGAAATCGCGGTCGAAGTTGGCGTCGCTGATAGGATAGTGAAGCCACGAAGAAAGTTCATCTTCTTGCATAAAGAGATGATAAGAAACCGAGTGGTGTTGCTCCCGGTGATGATGCTTTTGAGATGGTGATCGGATCTCAATTGGAGCTGAACGGTCAGCGTCGGGAAATTCGAACGGCGCTAATTTATTGAGAGTTTGTTGATTTTGGGACTGCATAACATGTTCGTTTTGCCACAACAGCTCCGTAAGTTGATCGTCCCGTCTGTTTTGAAATTCATCAATTTATCGATTCACAATTTCCATGATATATGAAGAAACTAAAAGAGGTTACCTGGAATGCTTTTCAAGAGGAGAAGATGAAAGGATTGAGTAATCGCCATCCATTTCGAAATCGGGAACGCAGTGATTCATGTTCATCCTATATAAAACAACCACCAAATCTAATAAAGCAAAGATCAATATAAACAAAAAAAGAAAAAGAAAACTCACCTAGTTCAAGTATTTAAGCAAAGAAAATGAGAGAATTGTTTGTTTTTAGGGGGGAAAGGGCAGAAAAGGCAGGTGTTATCTTGGTTGATGTGCACAGCCGCAGTACATTCTTCCTCTCCGCTTGTTATGAAATTGATGCTAAAAAACTCGATACAAAAAGGACAATACAATTGAAAAACAAAATCTAAATCCATGTGTCGCCTTCAGTTAGCTCCCTTGTTTGATTATCATTAATAATAAGATTATTAGAATCTTATATTACTTTACATATTACTGAAAATATTATATTATTTTGTTTGATTTGTTTGACAGAAATATAAGATTACAATGTTTAGATGAAAGAATATAAGATAAGAAAAATATTTGTTACGAAATTATCTTTATGATAGATTTTATTTTATAACAAATGAAAGTTCATAGAATTTTTTTTATTATTTCTAACTTATACATTTTCAATAAAATTTGTACACAAATAATTTAATATATATTTTTGTCATATTTAACTTTTTATTTATTTAAAATATTAAAATATATTTACACCAATATAGTTATGTGTTTAATTTTAGGTACTAAAATATTGAGAGATGTACATACTTACACCGGTATAAGTATGTGTTAATTGTTACAGTTTTGTTCATACTACATGTATATGTTGGAAAATAAAATATCATATCAAATTATATGACAAAACTAAGAGAAAATATTAAAAAATATAATATGAAAACTGTAACATCCTCCATGTCGGGTGAGTGATTAATTTGCAAAGTTTCAACATTTGGTGATTAAAGTAGAATAATTATATAGTTTAAAAAGTATGGTTAGTAAATATGAGATGGAGGTAAGGACCAAATGGTCATTTGTAAGGAAATTTTAATTAAAATAAAATGTTATGGGGTTATATGAGAACCCACGTGTGACATTAGGTTTCCAAAACCATCCCATTTCTTCTTCCTTCTTCCTTATTTTCTTCTCTTCCTTCTCTCAACGTGGAGCTTGCAAGTAAAGGTAAGAATCTGAACCTTAGTAGTTTCTTTGATTTTTTAAGATTGGAAATGAAAGTTTGGATGTTATATAAGCTAAAGGAAAGCTTATATGACATTAAAACAACAAGATAAGTGTTTTAGAGATAGATTTGGAAAATGAAATTTTAGATGAAATTTTGATAGGAATGAGTTTTTGAAGTTTGAATAAGATTTTTAACTTGTCAAGAAGCTAACTAAGAAGTATGAGGTGTTAGAATTCAAATTAGAACATATTGGAATTTGGGTTGGATTCTTAAATTCTACATGGAGAATTAGATTTCTAGGTTTTAGAGGTATTTAATGGATAATAATTAGTTAAAGTAAGTGTATGAAAGCTAAGAGTAGTAAAGAGAGTGAAATATGTATGTTTGAGCTGAAATGGGATGATTTCCGAGCTCAAAATAGGATTTTCTGGGTTAGGGGAATCGGTACCCATTCAAGGGGAACCGATACCCCCTCAACGGATATGAATTTCCAGAATACTAGAGGGGAATCGATACCCCCAGGGGGGGAACCGATACCCCCTCAACGGATATGAAATTCCAGAATGCTAGAGGGGAACCGATACCCCAGGGGGGGGAACCGATTCCCCCATGAGAAAAAAAAAGAGAGAAGAAAAGAAAGAAAAACTAAGCTATTAATTTCTTAAATTAATAAGCTATTAAAGCTTAATTGCAAGACATAGACATCTGATGATCATCTTGAAAATTATGTTTATGTAGATACCGAGCCTACACAAGTTCGGGAACAATCTACCAGTAGGATAGATCGAGGAAAAGGCAAAGAAGTATAGGTGAGTGCATATGCATAGCATGATTATAGAAATATACTCCATTCTAGACTTGTGATAAGTCTAGATTTTATATCTTGGTACATGAGCATAGTCGGTATTATGAGACATGACATGAATTCATATAAAATGCATTATATGACATGACTATGTGGGAAAAGTTATGAGCTATGTGAAAAGGTAAGAATTTACATGTCTACGTGATATAGACTACTTGAAATGTAAAAGCCCATGTTATGTAGATGAGAACTATAGGTATAGTTGGCATGCCAAGGGTAGAGGGTATACTCGGTTCTTTAGGACATATGTATATTCTTTGGAACCTGTGTGAAGTCTTGAAAGACACATACTTGATCCATAGTATATGTATATGATTCTTAAGGAATTCTATGTGGTCCTTATGGACATCATTATATGGCACTACGGTGCAATTCTACG